CAGATTACAGACCAGTGGGAAAGAGGGTGGTATAAGATGTGCAACATATTGCTGGGTTTTCAAAAAATACCATCTTTGGGCTGGGGATTTAGCTCAGTGGCATAAGTGCCTGCCTTGTAAGCACTCCACCGGTACCCCTCCCCCGCAAAATACCATCTTTTCCAGCTTGGGGTGAGGAGTGGGGGTGGGGGTGTCATGAAATTTCCCAGATCGCCGACTCATTTCTCCAAACCAGCCCTGCAGATGCTGGGATTGTGGGCAGAACAGGGTTTAGTGCTCTGCAGCCCCTCGACCAACACTTTGGAAGGGCTTTGCAGCCCTCAAGTGTTAGATGACCTGATGGTAGAAGTTAAATTTCCCAACGGTCTTGGTTCTTCTGCTCAGGGTCTTGATACTTCGAGAGCTAAACTGAGTTGGGGCCTGGGAGGGTTTGGGGTTCCTATCTTTGGGAGTCAACTCCCCCTTTTCCTTTCAGTATCCCTAAGCCACACACACACACACACACACACACACACACACACACACACACACACACGGGGGAGGGCTTCCTCCTTCCCATCTTCCCCAACCCCCCCCTTACCCCTCTTCTGCCAGGGGCCTCCCTCCCTCTAACAGCGCTAGGGGCCGAGGCCGGGAGAAAACCAGCCTACACGGAGCTCCCCGCCCCCTTCGCGGGGCTGGCGCTGGCCCCGAGCCAGGGCGCCAGGGTGGAAGGAACCTTCCCTCCCTGCCCCCCTCCCCAGGATCGAGCTGGGAGAGGAAGAAACTGTCTCCCTGCCCATCCCCCACAGGATCCGCTCCCGGGCGGGCCAGGGACTGAGCCAGGGGCCCCAGCAGCACCAACCTCCCCCAGCTTCCTCTCCCCGCTCAGGAGCTTCCAAGTCACAGTCCTCCCTGTCTGTGAACATTCTTGGAAACCGTGCAGAGAACCCTAGACGGTTGCTGGGGCCATTGGAGCCAGGCTGGGTTAGGCACGCGGGTAGCAACGGGTAACAGCGCGCATATAGCTGAGATATAGGCAATAAAGCAGTTTTCATAGCAACATAAGATATTTGTTCTGAGAAGAAACAAACCACGCTGTGTAGAAATGTCTGGAAATAAAGCTTCCTCTAGAAGAGACAGTGTTGACTGAAACCCACAGGATGAGCAAGGCCTGGGGTTCGCAGGGGAGAGATACCCAAGCAACAGAGCACACGGCGGCGTGTGCAGGCTGGCTGAGGGGCACAGATGTGGCCAGATCTGAGCGCCTCCAGCCAGTGCGTGAAGCACCAACTCTGCAGGGGTCCTTTCTCACCAGGGCAGTACAGCATGGGGGAGAGTTGGTTCCCGGGGCTCTAATTCTAGAGTCTGGCAACTATGTAAACACAGACTGTGATACTGCATTGAAAGAAGTATACACAGCCAGGAACAGCGGCACACACCCTTAGTCCCAGCGATTTAGGAGGCAGGAGGGTCACAAGTTCAAGGCCAGCCTGGGCAACTCAGCGAGAACCTCTCTTTGTAGCTCATTGGTGGAACCCTTGCCTAGTATGCAGAGGCCCTGTGTTCAGTCTCCAGTATCAGTACCACAGAAAGAGAAAGTTATGAGAGAAATTCCTGTTTAACAAGGAAATGTGGTCCAACCTAAGATGCCAGAGATAACTTTCCTTGCAAAATGTTTAAAGCTAGATCAAAAGGAAGCATACAGGAGTTAGTGGAGAGGGGTGGAGTTTAAGGGTTATAGGAATTAAGAATCTTAACCTAAGCAAAAGAGTTAAATCAACTCTAGTAAGAGAAGGCAACCTGGCAAGCATGAGGTCCTGAGTTTTATTCTCTGTGCCAAAAAAGAAAGAAAGAAAAAGAGGAGACATGGCTAATTGTGTGTGTGTGTGTGTGTGTGTGTGTGTGTGTACCAGCGATTGAACTCACAACCTCAACCTCATGCTTGCCAGGCTGGCACTTCTGCCACTGCACTAAATCCCTGCTTACCAGCATGGTTAATTCTAAGAAATAAAGTGAAGTCCAGTGTATCAGAGCAGGTTTTGAAATAAACTGCTCAGGCCAGGGATATAGTTCAGTGGCATAAGTACCTGTCTGGCAAGTGCAAACTTGTGAGTTTGATTACTGGTACCAAAAAAAGAAATGTGTTTATGGAAATAAACCATTGTAGATGTTGAAGAAAGGACTTGTCATTTCTGGGATATGATAGAATGAACCAGGGAAGCTACTGCCTCTCAGAAAAACCAGCCAGGAGGTATAAGGACACATTACTGAAGCTGCCACCTAAAGACAGGATGCTAGGATTAGAAAGGCACTGCTGAGCCCGGTGTGGTGACCCAGGCCTGAAATCCGAGCACTTGGGAGATTGAGGCAGGAGGATCATCACAAATTCAAGGCCAGCCTGCACTCCTGGTAAGATATAAATAAATAAATAAGAGACTGCCAATGCCTCTGCCAGGACAGTGAAACGCTGAGTCTTAGTCTCACCTCCATGAAGCTAGGGACTGTTTAGTCCTCACCACAGGCAGTCATGTGCCAAATGATGTTTTAAGCAATGGTGGACCACGATGGCAGACCCATCAGATTATATCACTTACGACCTCACAGCCATCTTAGTTTGTGTAAGTATATTTTACGTTGTTCACACATGGTCTCACCTAGTCACTCGTAAAAACAGTCTAAATTATCTGGCATATCTCTCTCCTGCCTTCCACTTTCCAAACCTTGTGCAAGTACATGGAGTTCCTGGAGCCCTAAACTGCAGAGGAGCCGGGAGGTGGTTCAGCCTTCTGTCATCCACAGCATGGGAAAGCACACTGACCAAGTGAGGATGTGCACTGTCTGCAGGGATCCATCCACAGTGCAGTGGGGAGAGGGAGGGTGCATGATGAGGCTACAGGTCCTGGAGCCTCTGGCCTGTAGGAATTTGGGATTAAAAATAGTGAGAAGCCACTGAGCAATTTTTATGCAAGTGAATAATATCATTTGGAGTGTGTTTTTATTTTTGTTATGCCGGTGGTCAAGCCAAGGCTTTGCCCATACTAAGCAGGTTCACTGCTACTAAACTACACTTCTAGCCCCATGGGGTGTGTTTTCAAAGCATCATTTGGGAGCTAGACTTAGTGGGGAGCACCTCTGAAATCCCAGCACTCTGGGAGCTGAGGCAGGAGAATCACAAATTCAAGCTTAGCTTGAGCCACTTAGTAACTAACACCCCATCTCAAAATAAAAAATACCAAAGGGCTGGGGATGCAGCTAGTGCAAAGACTGGGCTTGATCTCTAAGACCGGAAAAAAGAGAATTAATTAACTAGTGATTATATAAAATTTGATTTGGGATACTTTTTGGAGAATGAATACTGTTTTGATTTAGGGTCCCTCCCAAAGCCTCATGCAGTCATGGCGGGGTGGGAGGGACAGTATTTCAGAGGCAACTGAATCTCATTTGTGATTGATTCATGGTTCATGTAGCAGAATTAAGGGCAGGTGAATGCTGGATCGTTCCAATGATTAGATTGGCATCGTTCTAATTCCAGCAGTCTGGCTAAGATAAAAGGGGCAGAAAGAGGCTTAGTTTCCCTCTCTCTCTCTCATTGCTGTTACTGTCTTCCACCACTATGAACTGTTGCCCCTCTGCTATGTGGCACCCTAACTTGGAGCCAGCCAATTACAGACTGAAACCTGTATAAACTGTGAACTAAATAAACTCCCTTAACTTTGGTATTTTGCTTCAGCAACCAGAAAAGTAACTAAGACAAGTGCGTATAGATCTTAAATTCTCTGGAGAGTTTTGGGTTTGAGACATAAATAAGAGGCCCACAGCAGTGGCTTTCAAACTATCTCAACACATCCCACAGTAACATATACATTTTACACTGCAATCGTCATACGTATTTCATATGTGTATTTATATTTACATCTGAAACAAGTTTCCGCAAAAAATATTTACTTTATATATAACACACCCTGATACTTTCTATACTGTTGTGGATTTTTTTCTTTTTGGGTTTTTTTTTTTTTTTTTTTTTTTTTTTTTTTTTTTTGGCAGTACTGGAGATTGATCTTAGAACTTTTGTACTGAACCACATCCCATCCCATTTTTGCCAAGGCTGGGGTTAAACGTGATCCTTCTGCCTCAGTCTCCCAGAATGCTGGGATTCAGGCAAAAGCTTATATGACCTGCTAAATTTCTCTCACATGCTCCTAATGAGTAATGAGAGAAAACAGAAGGGAAGATGCTTACACCAGCTAGATTCATACGTGAAGCACCCTGACACTGAGAGCTGTCACTGATGGAAAAAGATTTAATGACAACAGGGGCAACCAAAAAGGGTGAAGGTAAACAAGAAAATGTAGAGACACACAATCAAAGGAGAAAGGTTGCAAGTGGGAGGAGCTAACAGTGTTCAAGGTTGCAAAAGTTTAAGTAAAACTGACATCAAGTAAACTGTCAAGATCAGTACTGATGAGTCCCATGGGCCTGAATAAAATAGGGTCCTCTGTGAGATAGATAGAGCACATCATCTTCCTTGTACTAGTCCATTGTCTGATGTTATATCAAAATACCTGAGGGTGAGTACTTTCTAGAGAAAAGAGGTTTATTTCACTCACACTGTTGAAAGCTAAAAGTCCAAAAACAGTTGGCCTCATCTATCTGGCCTCTGATGATCTTCAAGGTAGACGACATCATGGTAGGAGTGTTGTGTGTGTGTGTGTGTGTGTGTGTGTGTGTGTGTGTGTGTGTGTGTAAGACAGACAGAGAGAGAGACAGAGACAGAGACCTAAAAGATGCAAGGCCCAAGCTCCTCTTTTTATAACCATCTGTTTTCACAGGAAACAACTAGGTTTGTACAAGAACTACATTAACCCCTCACTCAAACCACAGCACAGTATTCCTGCATACCAATCCAACACTGACTACGAGACTCCTGTCACACCCCCAGGACGCTCTCTGGTCCTCAGAACTCAGCCTGGCAGCCAGTTCCTTTCACAAGCAGTTCCTGGGTTCCTTTCCAAACTTACTGTCAGAGTGCCTTTCCACCTTCATGTCACGTTCACGTGTGGCTGACAAAGAACAGCCAGAAGTTCACGGCAGCAGGAGTGTAAAGTAATACACAAGCCAGGGGCGAGTTCCTAACACACACAGTTCCGGACCCGTACAGCTTGTTGTTATAGCTAAGGGAAGGACACAAAAGCAAACACAGATATTTTATGGAGGAGAATGCAAACTGTGCAGAGGTTTTTTTTTTTTTTTTTTTTTTTTTTTTTGTCTTTTCTTTTTTATCGGTACCAGGGATTGAACTCACAACTGCCTGCTTGCAAGGCAGGTGCTTATGCTGCTGAGCTAAATCCCCAGCCCCTGTGCAGAGTTTTAAAATAAAACACGGACTGACCTCTTTGGAAAACTGGAACTGCCTTATCAAAATTTTAAATTCACATAATCTTTTTTTGTTTGTTTGTTTTTTGTCTTTTTCATTTTTATCGGTACCAAGGATCGAACTCACAACCGCCTGCTTGCAAGGCAGGTGCTTATGTCGCTGAGCTAAATCCCCAGCCCCAATTCACATAATCTTTTAACAGCAATATTATTAATAGGAAATAAATCTATAGTTAAACTTGGATATGTACACAAAGATGCGTATACCATGGGAGGTATAGCTCAGTGGTACAGTACTTGTCTAGCATGCATAAGAGTTTGGCAAGATTTGATCCCTGAAAATAAAACAAAAATTTAGAAGTATTTGTCAGGATCTCTAGTACTCTATTACTCAGAGTACAAAGCTCTGAATACAACATTGACTGGTTGGTTAGGCTGTGGCACATCCAAACAGTGGAACACTACATTGTGGTTAAAAAGAACAGTTCTTCAGCTATTCAGGAGGCTGAAGGAGAAGGATTGTAAGTTCAAGGCTTTCTTTCTTTTTTTTTTTTTTTTTTTTTGTCTTGTAAGTTCAAGGCTAACCCTACCAACTGAGCAAGATCCTGTCTCAAAATTTAAAAAGGACGGGGTGGGGGGTGGGGATTTAGCTCAGCGGCATAAGCGCCTACCTTGCAAGCAGGCGGTCATGAGTTCGATCCCTGGTACCGATAAAAACGAAAAAGACAAAAATAAATAAATAAATAAATAAATAAAGAGAACTCTCAGCCTGGGCTACATAAGAGAGTTTAAGGTCAGCCTGCACTACATAGTGAGACCTGGTGCCCCCCACCAAAAAAAGAAAGAAATCTTTAGTCAGGCATGATGCTGCATACCTCTTATCCCAGCACTCTTGAGTCTGAGGTAGGATGATCACAAATTCAAACCCTGCTTGTTGGGCAGCTCAGCACATTAGCAAGACCCTGTCTCAAAATTAAAACAAATAAATAAACAAACAAAAATGTATGAAAAAGGCTGGGGAAATAGGCCCATGAGAAGATCCTGAGTTCAGTCCCCACTATCACTAAATAAATAAGTAAAAGGGCTGGGGTTATAGCTCACTGGCCCCTAGGTTAGAGCCCCAGGGGGATGTGGGGAGGATAAAAAGAACTTTGAAGGCAAAATTTTAAAAACTACACAGCAGCTAACTCACTGATCTCCCTGCCTCCGAGCTGAGTCTCCTTCAGTCCAGAGAGACTGACCCCAAAATGAAATTTAATCAGGATATTCCTCTGCTTAGAGACCTTCAAAGCCATTGTGTCCTCCCTGGGCCCAGTGAGCCCTGCCTGACCTGCTGGCCTCCTCTGGGCCTCCTCTTGCTCAGGCCTCACCCCTGGCCCTGGCGGCTTCCCCATCTGCTCCAGCTCCTATTCTTGGAATTAGACCTCTCCCTCTCCAGCCAACCCAGCGGTTAACCCTTCCCTGCCCAGGTTCAGCTCTGAGACCACCTCCCAACAAGAGACACAAATCTCCCAGACCAGACCCTGTCATGTGCTCCCCTAGCTCCCTGGGCCCGCCATTCTGCAGCTACTGCAGCTGTACAGTCTGTGTATTTGTGCTATGGTTTGGATGATATCTGCCTCTGCCCTCAACACTGAGCTCCCTTCAGGAGCAACCTGAACTCCTTTGCTCACAGATGGAACTCCACCATTTTAGCCCTGGGTCTTGCACATATAAAAGCCTGATAAATATTCATCGTGTTGGCTGAGAATACAAATCAGGACATGTGTCTGTTTGTCCTTTAATGTGCCTCAGCATCTCTCTAAACACCCATCACAGACTCTGCATACTGAAGAAGGGCTTATTCATTCATCTATGGACAACTAATCACTCCCTGAGTCTTCCCACCTTTGTTAAGGGTGTCTGTCTTTCAGTCTGGGAAGGACCAAGCCATCCCCCTCTGTTTCTCTGAAACTCAGCCTGCGTATTGTTCCATGGCACTGGGACACACATGGAGAAGCACCTGGAAGTGTCCTGGATTCCAGGTGCCTGGGTTTGGAATCAGGTTTCCACACTCCCTTCCACTCCGCAAGAGGGGCCCTGCCACTCCTCCCCATGGGGTAAGGATTCTGCAGACACAGCTGCCCACCCAGAGCCTGTGTCCACCCTTCTACAGCTCAGAGACCCCATAACTCCCTTCCAAAAGCCCTTCGGGGGCCTCATTCCTGCACTCATCGCAATGGAAGGCCATCTGCATTATCTGATTCCCACTTTATAGACTGGAGCTTTAGGCTTCACAGCAGCTGTCTGCAGGATACAACTTGGCTTTGGGGCCTGGGGTGTCCACTCATGGGTGCGTGTGCTCCTACTCATGGGACAGGAAAGGAACTAGACAAGAGCTGGATGCAGGACAGATGATGAGCTGATGATGAGCGTATCTCTCTTTGGGCCAACACATGCTGGCTCAGAACCCCAGGGACTCAAGAATCTCAGTTTGAACCTGGACTTCTAGGCTGCTGGGAAGATGTATCCATCAAGACAGAGCAGAATACAGTGCACTTAACACTTGCCAGATGTTTTTGTAACTTCTGACTACAGAGACATATAATATATGGGTCTCCAATATGGTTTGAAGCCCTCAAAACTTGAGGTGAAATTTAATCACTGCTGTAAGGTATTAAGTGGGACCTTTTTTTTTTAATTTTTTTTTTTTTTTTTTTGTCTTTTTCCTTTTTATTGGTACCGGGGATCAAACTCACTACTGCCTGCTTGCAAGGCAGGTGCTAATGCCACTGAGCTAAATCCCCAGCCCCATTAAGTGGGACCTTTAAGAAGAGATCAGGCCACAGGGACTCTACCCTTGCAAATGGATTAGTCCATTCATGGATTAATAGATTATATTGAGAGTGGTCTGTCATAAAAAGCCAGTTTGGCTCTGTCTGTTGTGTAAGCCTTTCCTGACCCATGACACTCTGTACCTGTGCTGGCCTTAGGGCCTCACAGAATCCCCACCAGTAAAAGACCTTCACCATTTGCAGCGTCCTAGACCTCGTGCCTCCCAGCCTCCAGGACTGCGAGCTGAATGAACCTTTATTCTTTATAAATTATCCAGCCTGTAGTACTCAGGTATAACAACAGAAAATGAACTAACATAGCCTGCAACTATAGTGGGCACCACAAATGCCAGTTTAGTTCTGTTATTTCTTTGCTCCAGCAAAACTAGATAACCTGTCTTGGCCTCAGTCTGCTGAGCCAAGAAATGGGCTGATTGCGAACTACTTTATTAGGGGTAGTGAAAAATGAAATAATCCATGTAAAGGGCTTGGCAGAGTGCAGATCCCTAAGTATACAGTAATTATCATGGTAATGCATCCTTTATTTTATGACTTCTGGCTATCATCTCGCAAGATTTTCTATATAACATCTAAAAGTGACCTTGCCATAGGATTTCCACACTGCTTCTTTCTCCCTCCTTAACCTTCCTCATAGTTTGCCTATTCTCTCCCCTGAATGGCTCTCACTCTTTCTTCATATATCATGCTGTAGCTACCGTTGACTGTTCCTATACTATACTCTAGCCATTATATTAAGAACTTGACAGACATTTACTCAGTTCTGACCGACTCAATGAACTGGCCACTGTTTATTTACTCCCCAAACACAAAGACAGGGAAATCTAGAACACTGAAGCACCGGCAGCTGCAAATGGTAGAGACAGCAGGGTAGAAGCCGGGGAGGAGTGTGTGGGCCGGTCTCCCATTGGCTATGGCTGGCCCCTTCTAGCGCATCAGCAACCCCACCTCCTAGCTAATGTGTTGGAGGTTGTTGTACCCTCCAGCTCTGGGGTTCTAATCCGACTTTTGGCCCCAAAGAGCTGGCACTCGGTCTCATGCCTCCCTCGTGGTACATAGTAAGGACTCCCATTCCTACCCCGCCCCACCGTTCCCTCTTCATTTCTTTCTCTCATGAAGTACTGGGCACCTACTATATGAAACCTGGGTGTGGTGACAAACGCCCTGGAAGAGAGGCAGGAGGACTCCGAGTTTGGAGTTTGAGCCAGTCCGGGCAATTTAGCTAGACCTGATCGCAAATTAAAAATAAACAGGGCTGGAGATACAGCTTGGTGTGAAGGCCTTAGGTTCAGTACCCATGGGTGAGGGTAGGGGGGGATACCAGTGGAGAGACTTCTCTTTCTTCTTCAGACCTTTGTTTGGCAGAGTGTTTTCAAGCAAGCGCACAGGCTCGACTGGTCAAACTCACTCCAAATGTGGCATTGCCAGGTTAGGTTGGTTTGGTCCAAAGTCGACCATGTCCCCTTAACTCCCAACCCCCACGTCTCCTCCACCGGTCCTCAAATCCAGGCCGCCCTGCCCCCTCCGGAAGGGGGAGCTGGGAGAGAGCGTAGAAATCTGAGCGGCTCTTTCAAAGCCTCGGTTGCCTAGAAACCAGTCGCTCGGGCCTTGGCGGTCCATTACACCATCCTCCAGCGACACAGCCAATGGGCTTCGACCTCCATCCCAGGCGCTCCCAGGCAGCCTACCAATTGGTAGACCCCTTTGCTGAGTCCCTGCCCTTAGCAAAGGAACACCACCAATGAGCTTCGATCCTGCCCTCCCTCTATCTTCGATGTAACAGGACTCGGATTTTTTTTTTTTTTTAAGGAATTCTCTAAATTAGAAGGAGCTAGCTGTAACGTCTCTGCCAGTTGCAGCCTTTGGCTGATATTTTATATAAGGGAGCAAAATTGTTTCAATTATGCAATCATACATACCATTCGCTACCAAAGCAATTTTAGACAATAAAGATTTAGGCAATAGTGTTGATATAATCTGTATGTGAACTTCTTCCATTATAGGTCTTTTCATTTAATTTAAAATAATTAAAGAGTTACTTTTCTTTGTTCCTTGAATTTTGTGGTGCATGAGACATTGACCTAATTAATTAGCGGCTGACTTTTATTGAACAATGTAACTGCTGGATTCAGAACACATTAAAAATGTAGGCTAATTTCCCTTAATCTGAGGAAGAAATTCTAATTTTGAGGCAGGTAGGCTGTATAATGGCTTTGGCAATCCGCAGTCTAAATGATTAAACATGTTTTTAAAACCTGTGCCATTTAAAAAATAAAACTTTGTTAAGCATAGCTTTGAGGGCTGGGATACAGCTCTGGTGCAGTACCTGCCTGGAAAGCACAAGGTCCAGAGTGTGATTTTCGGTATCCCTGGCCCCCAGAAATCAATTTGAAACAATTTATTTAAAAAAAAAAAAAACAGCAAAAACAAAACACAGCTTTAGATTTACAGGCAAATTCAAAATACCAATATATTACCTGTTTTTCCTATTGTCAGTACCATGCATTAATATAGTGCATATATTTCAATTAATGAACCAATAATAATACATTGAAGTTCATAATTTATTCAGCATAATTCTGTGCTGGAGATTGAACTCAGAACCTTGAACAAGCTAGGCAAACATTTTACCACTGATTTACCTTTGTCTTCTTACCTGCCCACCCATTACTACCATTATTAATACTATTTTTGTGTGTGTGCTGGGAATTAATCCCAAGGTGTATAAAGCACAGCTCTACTAGTGAGCCACATCTGAAGCCCTATTTTTTTTTTTTTTTAATTTTAAGGCCTACAATCCTTTTTTTGTTTTTGTTTTTTGGTACCAGGAATTGAACTCAGAACCTCATGCTTGCCCGGCAGGCGCTGTGCCACTGAGCTAAATCTTTATTTTTTTTTATTTTAAGACAAATTTTCACTAAATTGCCCAGGCTGGCCTCAATCTTGTGATCCTCCAACCTCAGCCTCCAAAGACCTGGGATTACAAGTGTGCACTACCATGCCAGGTTGTGGGTTTTTTCTTGTTATTGCTGCCATCAAGAATTTTCTTATTTTCTGGCACTACCCAGTCTCTTCTTGTATATTTCCTACCTCAATCCTAAAATTAGCCATGTCTCAAGAACTCTGATTCCTTGTTTTGGAGAATGGTATGAGAAACTAAAATGAGGTCACTCACTAGGTGAGTTCACAGCAGGCGGAGGTCATTTCTTTGAAGATTTCTCAGCTGACAAAACAAAGACCTATATCTGTATGTAGCATCTCATAAGAATCCACGTATCTAGATTTCCATTTGCAACCATCTGCATATACATTAAGCTAAAGATGAGCTCATATTTATATTTAGAACTCTAGTC